GAGGGGTTTATCACGCTTGATGTAATATTCTTGTGGTTGGTTAATCTTGTATAAATATTACTCTTAATATTTATACTTATATGAAGACTTGATAATATGCGATTATCGGTCTATCTATATAATAGTCTTAATGCTTTAATGTTATCTCACTTTACAATCAAGCTTGATTATAGATGCTTTAATGTTATCTCACCTTATGCTTAATATGATCTCATGGTTAAGTCACATTTAATATTTTATTAAACAAATTAGCTATTGTAGGGACTTTATTGTTTTGTATTTTGGACCGGCCAAAGACCCAAATGAATAAGGTTGAATCCATTTCAAATTCACTCTACTCGACTCAAAGTATAAAATAGTTCACATGCTAAGAGAAAGGTACAATCGCTAATTCCCACTTTCATTATATTCATCTTGAATCTTGAACTGACTTGCATGTTGGAGTGCTAACTATAAAGATCCACCATGTGCCACCATAAAGAAGATTGAAGCCAGTATTCAAGATCACCATTTACCCAACTATCTCTGTTTCTGTTTCCTAAGTAGAGTTACATCATCTATATTTGGTTCTCGAACGGAACTATGGCGCTGTCTATGGGAATCGACTTCTTATTCCTAAAATTTTCACGAAAATCACATTCACTTTACAAGATCATCGAACAAACTCAGAAGTTCTAGATCTGAATTCTTGCGATTAAGATCCAAATCTTCGATCTACCCGTTCACAACCTACTCATATCATCAAATCAAGAACATTTAGAGCCGAATATAGAAATTTGTCGCACTCGATCAAGACAATTACTGTTTCAGCGGCAACTTTCCAGATCTCCAAATCTATGATCTTCCTTGGATACTTTGGAAAGAAGAAGAAGAAGAAGAAGAAGAAGAAGAAGAAGAAGAAGAAGAAGAAGAAAGAATCTCAGATTCAGATCTAGGTTTACGTCGGAGTCTAAAGGCGATTTCCATAAAGGCTAAGTCGAAGGTTCGCAATCCATTTCCCGATTTAACATCGTCCTCATCTTTCCCAATACAGGGGTGTCTACCGAGGTGGTGTAGTCAAGATACGACAAGTTCATATTTAATGTCGGACATGGATCCAGAATAAAAACACATTCTATTGGTACCAAAGGATCTCTGACCCATGGACAGACCTTCCTCTAAATAAATACGACATCAAAGGATGGTCTAGTCCTTACCAGAAAGGATGGCACTGGGAAACCACTTAAAGGATAGGAGTGTCCGGGCTCAAATATCAACTTTTGAGTGAATGCAATAATTCCACCATGATCGAGGTCCATATGGGGATTTGCATAAGAAATATCCACCAAACGATATTACCCTGCTTGGATAAACTAACTATATAGTCGTCACACTCATGTTAACAAAAGCAAAGGGAAATGACCAACCATGCAATTAGAGAGAATACACCTTGGAATTTAGTCGCAAGGGGATCAGTTGACAATAATCCCAAACTCTCGACTTACATCGGTGTCCCAAAGGAAAGACTAGGAGAAGAGGAAGACCTATCAAGGAATTCCGCCGATGCTCAACCATAATATCGGGTCTGAGAGAAGCCAGTCAGGAGGTTGGATCAGTTGCAGGTAGACCCTGGCCTTCGAATCCGGAAAGAATCCTAAAGTTCTTCGCCCTTCTGATCAAGAAACGCTCTACCAAAGCATCAGATAGATAAATGAGCCCAAAGTTTCAACGAGTGTCCTTAAGCTACACATTTGGAGCAGCCAATCGTTCAAACATATATCAGTGTTCAAGTGCAACGTAGGACACCTCGGTGCCCTATCTAATAAAAAAAAATACACTTTAAAAGGGTGGGGTGCATTCAATCTAGAATCCTGGGAAAGGACAACGGCCAAAGACCTCGAATATCGTCTATCCACGCTAAAGTCATTGTTGAAAGTTATCTACCTCGTTGTTTTATTATTTATTTGTAACAAATTCAATTTATTATATATATATATATATATATATATATATATATATATATATATATATATATATATATATATATATATATATATATATATATATATATATATATTCTTCCTTTGTTGTATGCTTCTTTGTCTCTCTATTTTACTATAGCACTTGAGACAGAGAAATGAAGACATAGTGCATGGGTGTGTATCCGATACAGACTTAATGCATCTTTGTGATTTTGATACGACTCAAGCACACTTTACGCTTGATTGCGTATCTGATACAGATTTAACTCATTTATGTGATCATGATACGACTTAAATGCATCACCCGCACGAATGCGTATCTGACACAAATTTAACGCATCTATAAAATTTTGATACGACTTAAATGCACCACCTGAATGAATGTGTATCAAATACAGACTTAACACACCTATGGGATTCTTATACGGTATAAATGCATCACCTGCGTGAGTGTCTATCCAATACAGACTTAACACATGTATGCGATTATGATATGACTTAATCACATTCCATGCCCTATTCCGTATCTGATACAGACTTAACATACTTCTATGATTCAGATACAGCTTAAAGGCACACATCGTATGACTTCTCATTCGAGACATATTAAACACGTTTATATGTAGTTAAAGCACCTCTTCTCATATCTAGTTAATCCTAGGGCATAGGTGGTGAATCCCAGAGACCTCCAACTAGATTCGAGCCAAGCCTCAGGCCATGGACATGGATTCTACCCTTAGCTGGAGAATGGTCTTCTGTGACGCCGAACACGACACACAGTACAACTACATGGCAGATGTTTTTCATCTCATGTAACTATGAAACTACTCTAATGCATAAGTTATTTTTATATTTATCATTGTTTTCTATGTTATTTATCATCTATGTTTTAAGATGTATGCCATGTGATAAATGTTCCTAAATGGAGTCCACCATCATCAATTTTGAAGAATCTTTCGAATTAAAAAACTTGGACATTTATTCTATGACGGGACTTATTATTTGAGATCATGTGTGATACTAATTATCACAAATGTTTTATGTACTCATTTATCAAAATTCATAATATTGGAATTTAAGGACTCACAACCATTAAATTTTACACAAATAAAATTATTTGGTTTAGCCCTTAAATCTTAATGGTTTAGACAAAAACTACAGGAGAATTGTCCGTTTTCCCAAATCATAAATTGAAAATTTTAAACACCAACAGTTTTTTTTCAAAGGTCACATATTCGAAATGCACCCAAAAGATTAATTTGAGAATTTTGATTAAAATTTAAGAACGATTGGTATTACCGTTATAAAAGAGAGAGGAATAAGCAATGTTTTGTTGAAGAGATTAACACGGTCAATCCAAAATATTTTGTTCTTATTTTTTTGGGTTATTAAACATTTCCTTTTTTAAAAAAATATATATTTTAATATAACATAAAGTTAACTTGATAAATTTAAAGATTTTGATTGAATGTATATGTAATATTGTTTTACATTACCAATGCATCATTTTTAAACCATTATTATTATTATTATTATTATTATTATTATTATTATTATTATTATTATTATTATTATTATTATTATTAGAAATAGAATATAAACCTTCAATATAATTTTATATTAACAATCAATCAGCGACGTGTATTCTATTAAATCACTCATATATTTTAAAATTATTTTGATATGATAATTTTTTATTGAATAAATGTATATAATATTTTATATATTTTTTAAGAGCAACACATTTTTGTGAGAGACACATCACATACTCCCGCAAAACTTTAAGGTGATAAGAGTATGAGTTCTCTCACATATAAATACTTAAATCTCCACATTTCTAATCAATGTGAGACTTTTCTACACTACTCACACTTATAATTTTTTTTCAACACTTTCAATTATAACACTCCCTCTCAATTATGAGTTTATCTACAATAATCTCATATATACTTGTACCGCCATTGACACTTTTTTCAACCGACCACCTCCCACCTAATAGAAAATTTTGATACAAGTAAGTTGGTCCTTTCAATCGAACCAAAACTCATGATACCACTGTTGAGGTCAATTTGGGAAAGTCAAAATGAGAAAATATTTTATGCTTTGGGATTTTTTTCTTTAAAAACAACACAATTTTGTGAGAAACACACCACATATTCATCAAAAATCTTAAAGTGATAGGTGTAAGGTCCTCCCACTTATAAATATTTAAATTTTTACACTACTCACACTTGTAACTCTTTTTTAATTTAAGTGTCTATCTAAATTGCACACGTTTAAAAAAATTTAAAAAAAATCTATTTTATTTGATTATTAAAAAAAGTTGATCGTTACACTCAATAAACTAAATCAACTTACTATTTATAGGTTTGATTTTCTACAAAAAGAAACGTTGGATCAAATCAAATTTACTTTTTTACATTGGTTAAAATTACCGAACAAAATCAATCGTTAGACAATAACGGTTTTGTAGAAGAAAAAAAACGTTATTTTCTAAAATAGGAAATGACGATAAGGCCCATGTTTGACCAAAAGAACCCTAACTTAGAGTGAGAATACCCACTCTACCCTCTCCTCTCTCTCTCTCTCTCTCTCCTCCGTTTCTGGTTTCTGCCATTGGATCTCACTCTCTCTCTTTCAACACCTTCTTCTTCCTCCTCCTCCTCGCATTTTCAGGTAAGCATCTCCCTCTCTTTTTTGTATTGCACTTCACTCATTTTCGTTTAACCCAATTTTCTTCTTACTATTTATTGTTTTCTAGATTTATATGTAATTACTAGAATACTTTTTTTTGTTTTGTTCATATTAATCTACTAAGTTATACTCAACAAAATTGAACCTTTTTGGGGTTTGGGGTTCTTACTAAAGTCTATTTTTTTTGTTTATAATTAGAAAGGATTAGAGTGTTAATCATGGTTCAGATTGAATGTGATGCTGTTCTATATATGATAGAGAAAATGGTGCTGTTACTAATTTATTACAGGTTTGAGTTGTTGATTATTACTGCAAACAAGTTAAAACCTTGAAACAGTTAACTCTATGGAGGACCACAATTTTGTTGTTGGTCAAGAATTCCCTGATGTGAAGACATTTCGGAATGCTATTAAGGAAGCTGCTATTGCACAACATTTTGAGCTTCGTATTATCAAAAGCGACTTGATTCGATACTTTGCTAAATGTGCCTCTGAGGGATGTCCGTGGCGGATTCGTGCTGTTAAGCTCCCTAATGCCCCGACATTTACTATAAGAAGTCTTGAAGGGACACATACTTGTGGAAGAAATGCGCTCAATGGGCACCACCAGGCTTCTGTGGATTGGATTGTGAGTTTTATAGAAGAACGGTTACGAGATAACATTAATTATAAGCCGAAAGATATTTTACACGACATCCATAAGCAATATGGGATAACGATACCGTATAAGCAAGCTTGGCGTGCTAAGGAACGGGGCCTTGCGGCAATATATGGCTCTTCTGAAGAAGGGTTTTATCAACTTCCTTCGTATTGTGAAGAAATAAAGAAAACAAATCCGGGAAGTGTTGCAGAGGTGTTTACCACTTGTGCAGATAACCGTTTTCAGAGACTTTTTGTTTCATTTTATGCATCGATTCATGGTTTTGTTAATGGTTGTTTGCCCGTTGTTGCTCTTGGTGGAATTCAGCTGAAAAGCAAATACCTTAGCACATTCCTTTCCGCAACTTCTTTTGATGCGGATGGTGGGTTGTTTCCACTTGCTTTCGCCGTTGTCGATGTAGAAAACGATGAAAGCTGGACATGGTTCCTGTCTGAGTTGCATAAGGCACTAGAGGTGAATATTGAATGCATGCTTGAGATTATATTTTTATCTGATGGGCATAAGGGTATTGTGGATGCAATAAGAAGGAAGTTTCCGAAATCTTCGCATGCATTCTGCATGCGTTACTTAAGCGAAAGCATTGGCAAAGAGTTCAAGAACTCTAGGCTTATCCATCTTCTATGGAAGGCAGCATATGCTACTACGACTATTGCATTCAAAGAAAAAATGGCGGAAATAGAAGAGCTCTCTCCCGAAGCCGCCAATTGGTTACAGCAATTTCATCCTTCCCAATGGGCTCTAGCATATTTCGAAGGGACGAGATATGGTCATTTGTCCTCTAATATTGAAGAGTTCAATAAATGGATTCTTGAATTCCGGGAGTTGCCAATTATCCAAGTGATTGAGCGGATTCATAGCAAACTTAAAACTGAGTTTGATGACCGGTGTTTGAAAAGCAGTTCATGGTGTTCTGTACTTGCTCCATCTGCCGAGAGGCGAATGGTCGAAGCCATTAATCATGCATCCACATATCAAGTCCTTAGATCAGACGAGGTAGAGTTTGAGGTTATTTCAGCTGATCGATCTGATATTGTAAATATTGGCAGTCATAGCTGTTCCTGCCGTGATTGGCAGCTATATGGGATACCTTGTTCCCACGCCGTTGCTGCTCTTATCTCATGTCGTAAGGATATCTACGCATATACGGCAAAGTGTTTTACTGCTGCAAGTTACAGGGATACTTATGCAGAGGTGTTACATCCCATCCCTGAAAAAATTGAATGGAGGAAAACAGATGAATCTTCCTTGGATAACGATATCGTAGTTGTGCGACCGCCAAAATTTCGCCGACCACCAGGGCGACCGGAAAAGAAACGGATTTGTGTGGAGGACCATAATCGCGACAAACATACAGTGCATTGTAGTCGATGTAATCAAACTGGACATTACAAGACTACATGCAAAGCAGAGATGATTAGTAGTATACAACAGTTTTAGTTGTTTAATTTTGTACTATGTAGTAGTTTTTTAACTAAAGATCTAGTCTCTAAATAACTCATGTTTAGGCCACACATGTTATTAAGACCATGTAAGATAGTATAAATCACTCTTAAATCAGTTGGTGTAATGAAGAGTGTTTGAACTTTGAAGCGTGGATTTTGCAAGGTTGAATACTAATCATACCATGCAATGCATGCATTGAATATCATTATGTAAATTGGAGAATCTTCAATTTGTGTGATTCCTAACAAAAGAGGAAACTACAGCTACCTCCTTCAAGTTTTTACTAAACAACCCAAACACCTCTAATTTTGAAGGAAAAAAACAATCACCTTCCTAGAGTTAATACTCTTAACACTGTTTTCCGCTTTGACTATTTTTAATAGAAGCATACAAGACATTAAACATCATCTAAGATGCGTTGCTACATTTTCAGGTTGAAACAATAATAACACTGAAAATGGAACCAGAGTAAACACTGGTATCCAGTGTCAAGAATACAGTAAAAAAATTATTCTCAGGAAAATTATTCAAAAGACATTCAATTGAGATGTTCTAAATTTCATCACTTGTATAGCTGCTTGAATCTTCTGCAGGCCTCCAAGACATTTTCCCTGTGACCAAAGGCACTGACCCTCACAAAACCTTCACCGCCAGGTCCAAAACCACTCCCAGGAGTTGTAACCACGTGCGTCTTCTCAAGAATCTCACTGAACACATCCCATGAACTTTGGCCTGGGAAGTTGACCCACACATACGGTGCATTTTTCCCTCCATACACTTTAAACCCAAGAGAATCAAATGTCTCCATTATTATGTTGGTATTTTCTTTGTAGTATCCAATTACTCCGCGCATAGCCTGTATTCAAATACATCAAGCCTATTATGTAACTTGCTCATTGAAAAACAAATAACTTAATCAATATTAAACCAAAAGAACCAACCTTAAGGCCATCTGGTGAAAGACATGCAAGACCACCAGCCTGTGAAATATTTGACGCACCATTGAAACAAGTAGATACGACACGGCTGAAGTCCTTGGCAACAGGAAATCCATCAGAAAACAGTAATTGTTTTGGAACCACAGTCCAACCCAATCGGACACCTGTGAACCCAGCATACTTGCTAAATGACGAAGTTTCGATGGCGACCTGCAAAAGGCCATAACATGTCATTCACAACTGTATTTGATAGAATTCATCAAGCATCAAAAGCAGATTCTTGAGACTAATTATAATCAAAATACTGTCATGTGGGACTTAATACCTGCCAGATTTTTGGTAAACTCACATTAACGAAATCTTGAATGCGTGAGACAGGTTGCAAAGTAAATTGAAGTATAATGACACAAACAAGTTATACAGACCTCTTTGGCTCCAGGAATTTCAAAGATGGAGCGCGGGTTGTCACCAGACATATACATAGCATATGCTGAATCATGTATTATTATAGATCCATTGTCCTTAGCATACCGAACTAGTTGGACCAGTTGTTCCCTTGTTGCTGCAGCGCCAGTAGGATTGTTTGGAGAACAGAAAAATATTATATCCGGTCGGGAAATAGAAGATAAATCAGGGAAGAAACCATTTTCTGGATTACACCTCATATATTCAATGTTCGCAAACTTCTGAACATCCTTCTGGTACAAACCAGTCTGGCCCATAATTACACTTGAGTCTACATAGGCCTGCATATAAAATACTAGCAGTTATTTACAGAGAAACTACAAAAAACAAAAGGCCATTTAAGGTTTTACTTTACACATCTTCAGATGTCACTTTTTCATGTAATGAACAGTCTGTTCATTCAAGGTTTCCCATCAATAACTGAAAAAAGCTTCTTGAATATTAAAATGAATAACATTATTTCAGGACAGGAGTCTTATTTTAAATAAGCAAAATATACAACTCAACGATCTAACCATTTCTATTACATCAAATGCATAAAAGAATGATTAGTGAGTTAAAATCGGTTAGCAGATCACACCTCGAGGAAAAAATGTGACACTGAGCTAACTAAATGTGACTATTGGAACAAAACCTAGGCCACAATTATCGGCATATAGAAACATAATTGAATGTTGAAGCAAATGATGAAAAGATAAACAAGGGCATAGATATGAATTACCGGGTATGATGGATCCTGCACAGCCATTTTCACATTTGAACCAAAGACAATCTGCCATCAAATGAAGAAAAAAAAATTAGTTACATTACCAAAAAGGAGGGGGGTATTTGAAATCAAATAACAGTAAGTGGACGTGAGAAGAACACAATAAGTAGAATAGGTGACTTGAGAAGAACATAATCTATTAAAAAACAAATACAATAATGAACCTGGAGACGAGAAATATCACACTTTGCTCCATCTGAGACAAATATATCATCATCTTCTATGCCAAGATCAAGGTAAAATGTTGAAACAATTGCACTTCTTAGTGGCTGCATAGATTAGGAATGCCTCTTAATCATCCAAGAATCATTAACTTATGTAAAAAGATGGCAGCAAAAAGCTTAAAAAATACATGCTTAGACTATAAAAAAAACAGCAATTACTATAAGATATTGATATGACATACCTTTTCTCCTTGTCCATCTCCATAACCACTGTATCCTTCAAAGGTTGACAATGCAAGTGATTTCTGAATAATTGAAAGAAAAAAGAAACATTTTCAAATGCCCGGTTAACAAAAGGTGGAGCATTACATCTTTACTACAAATAAAAGACAAATTTAAACAGAAGCAACTACACATGCAATGTGAGATGACAGCATCAGAATAAGGCATCAGAAGCAGTACTAAAACGAAATTCACCGATAAAAAAGAGAAACGGAACAGATTATTTCCTACTGTCGAAAGTGCAAACATGGAAAACACATACGTTTGCCAATGCAGAACTTATGACTTCAGGAATGGGTTCAGTAGTATCACCAATCCCAAGGCTTATTATTTTTGCATCAGGGTACTTTAGCAAGTGTGCAGACTTTCTTCTAGCAACCTATTTTTATGCAATAGAATGGAAAAACAAAACAAGATCAGTGAAGAGGAAGGAAGATAGTATTAACCAGAGAATGCTTTTTTAACAGATAAATGAAGAGAAAGACCAAAAGCAGATCGATAGATGAAGCAAAATCACATACCTCAGGAAAGAGATAACCAGCTTGAAGTTTACCCAAGTTTTTATTGCGAGAGACACTTGTCTTGTAAGCTTCAAAACAAAAAAGTGAATGAAAAAAAATAATGTAATCTTGTTAAAAAAAATTAGATCTATAATTCAATGGAGCAACTAGCATGCTCATTTTCAAGACTGATATCCGCTATAAATGAACCACATGCACCCAAGTTTGTTACGAATCAAGAAAAAATTGATTTTGATATAATTAGGAAATTGTTCAGAAAAGCATAAGCTATTTTATACTACTAGTTTACCATAATGAAAAGCACTTTTTTTTTTTGGAAAAATCACATGCCGAAAAAGGATTTTGAATCTGCTCAAAACATAATATTGGTGAATCACAATTCACAAGTAAAATCATGAATCAAAATATCGAAAATACAAAATACAAGATCATGACACGTAAAACCATAACATAAAGTACGTTATTTTGGAAAAATGATAAGCCAAAAAATGAATTTGAAGCTGCTCAATCACACGTAAAATCATAAATGCAAATATCCAAGTACGAACCAGTGTCAAGTTGTTGGGGTGTAGCGATGCATTTACAAATGGTGGATCTCTTAGAATCCAAAGATACATGACTCCTGCAAACAAATCAATATACGAAATTGTAAACAGAAAAAAGATACAATTTTTTTTGCAATAATGGCGTAAAAAGTATCGAAAGAAAGAGCGTTAAGAGAAATGAAAGTACCTGGAATTGAAATTGGATGGAGCTAAGAAAGAAGAGGAAGAAGAAGAGATTGAAAGGGTTATAGACATTTTGGATGGGAAAAGAGGAGAGTGTAATTATAATTAGTGAATTGATGTTTAATAAACATCTCTCACTTACATTAATCATATCATATAAAGTTAACTACCACCATTATCTACTACTAAAATTTAAAAGTTAACTACATATATAATTACAATTTAATCTACTACTAATAAAATATAAAAGTTAACTACATATATAATTATAATTTAAACAAACTTACAGCTATGTCTAATTTCATGGGCAATTAAGTAAATTTGAGTGTTTTAAGTTCTTTAATCAAATTAGCTTTGAATAATGTGAATGAATTCATATCTACTACTAAAATATAAAGTTAATTTCATATTTATTGACCGTAGACAATAATTAGATTCACTTATTCAAAACAAAATTAAGAATCGCATTCCTTTTTTCAATAAAATTTGAATTATCGCATGCTTATGTCCTGAAAAGTCACACGAGAAAATTGAAAAGTCACTCCTTCATAGTTTTCTATTGAAGAATCAACTTTATATTTTCTTCATATTCTCTTTATTTCTTCTCCTCCTTTTTGGTTCTAAAGACTCATTTTCTCCCCTTCTCCATCTGCCGTTTGAGAAAGCAACACTAGTAGCTTGAACCATACAAATATTCCAAACCCATTGTGCCGCCAGGGTTCGCCGTCTCAAGATGTACAAAATTAGATCCATTAATAAAAGTGGAGGCAAAGTCTTTAGGCAAGATTATCAATCCAAAGACCTTCCAAGCACTCAAATGAACACAAACGGTCAATGGTTTGGTATGTTCAATTTCACTAACTACGATTTTTTAATCATTCAAGACGCTAATTTTAGAGTTTTGTGATTTGCAGGGAATACTCGTGTTGTGAATCAAAAAGAGTTTGAGTTTTTCAGAGATGAAATGGTGAAGCTTAGTTTAACTTCCAGTTTTCATGTTGCTTCCATGAATTAATGAATGAATTAAAATTTGTTGTGTTTATATTAATCTAAGATTATGCTCCGAAAACATCACATTTTCAACCTCACTTTATTCGCTTACAAGTTTAATTATGCATTTTGCATGAATC